ACGCACACCCTCAATCACTGAGAATTTCCAGTGAATTGAGAATTATTTATGCGTCATTTACATGTAGCATTTATGACTGTTCTAAGATCACAACACAAGTGACAGATTACACTTTACCTGACATTTTTATAATATTTTGTGAGAAATGTATATATGCTATGTTTATCTGAGTTCCCTCATCACCTCTGTTTCCATCTTGCAGAATATGAAATGCTAGTTATTTGTTTAATCACTAGTCTTGAAATTAGAGCTCCCTTTATCATTAGCAGTGCGATCTTGGATAAATTTCTTAATTTGACTTTCTTTTCTTCGTGTATGAAATGGGAATACATGGAATATAATTTATACAGTTGTGATATATAAAATAACCCATGTGATTCTGAAAATTTGAAACAGCTGGAAAACAAGGTAAAATAATTATAATGGCTTGGTCACAAAACTCTTACATGGACCCCTTTAATAGTATAATGTAGTTGGGAAGGGGTTTTATTTTTAAAATACAGATTCTGTATCAATAGATACATGTAGTAGTACAACGTCATCAGAATTATGGGATTTTTTTTAAGTTGACTTTCAGAATATAAAACAAAAACCTAAACTAATAATTTTTGAAATTGCGTACTTATATTTCTATATTTTCTCTCACTAGAATTTTTAAAAATACATGCTATAAGTGCTAAGTCCATTTCAACTCCACATATTTGAAACAAAAATTGAGATGAAGAAATAAAGGTAGCAAAGCTATATGTCATATTTCTTATGATAATACCTGAGTGTTCACAGGGTGATATAAAAGCTGACAAAACACTACCGTTGTGACCTGTGGTTGGGTCCCATAGGGGCTTGATTGATTTCCCTACCTGGTTTTGCCATTTGGCTGAAGACTCACTACCCTCCCTCCCTATCTTGCTTTAGTCTGAAGACTAAGGATGATATCCTTCACTACTAAGAATTATATAAATGTCTGAGGATCTACTCATAAGTGATTTCTAAGGTTCATGAAATTTTATGACATAAACTTCAGACTTGCAAAATTTGAAATTTCTCATAATGTAGTTCATGACTTCAAATACTCTTCAGAAGATTACGTACATTAGAAAAAAGCACTGCCTGTCATGAAAACCATCCGAAATGTCCACACGATACTCAATTAACAAACACAGCCAACTTACTAAAGGCAGAGAAGACTTTGCCAAGTCAATTAACACTTGCCTGGGCTCGAGTCCCATCAAGCTTAACACTGTGTCCCAAAAGAGAGCAATAAAAAGGAAGGCTGTACACATACTGAGTAATGGGAGGAAAAAAAGAAAAAGAAAAGGAAGTTGAACGGGCTGACAGCTGAAACATATACGGCGATTGACGTTTTTTTAAGGTGGGGGTGGGGAGGTTTCAGTTTATTTCCGAGGGTCACTCAGACCTTGGCCGTGAGGCTGAAGAAACCTTTGGGCTCGATCATCTTCTCGACCACGTTGCACTTTATCCCAGCTGTGCTGTCATACTCGTACACGACCCCATATTCCAGATGGACGTTATCCACCGTCAGACTCACGTGTTCCTTCTTCCCGTCGATGATAGCCATGGTGTTGAACTTGTCAATCACCTCTGGAAAGAAAACAATTTTCATTCAGCAGATTCACACAGGGTCCGTGAGTATTTTCAAATACTGTGAATGTCTTTGAATAATTTTCAAACAGTTAGTTAAAGGATGGCTAAATCGGATGTTCTAAGTAAAGCATTTATCCTTGCTTACATTTAAAAAAAAAAAAAAGAACATTTAAAAAACTATACTTGAGTGATGCAAATCTCACCACTTTAACATGACTACTCTTATCTTGGCATATTCATTTTGATCTAAGGATCATATGCATGCCTATTTATACGAATATAAACATTGTACATACAATTTTATATTTCCTCATTAAAAGCATGCATGAATTACAGTCAGCATTTCTTAAAACAGCCTTAAACATTGGATGGGTATTTTCTCAAAGGAGAATAAATACATAAAGCCATATTGAAGAAGCAGAAAGGAGATGCAATAAGCCTTTTTTTTTTTTTTTTCCAGCAGAAAGGGTGCCTGAATTTTCTCAAACAGCATCTTCTGGAGAAAGCTCATTGAGAAAATTTGTCATCATTCATTATAACATTTCCATCTGAAATGTCTTCTTATAGGTTTTGGCCTACTGGAAAAAAACAAAACAAAACAAAAAAACACCCACCAATCTACAATCTCAGTAAGAAACTGTTGAGAAACCTAACAGCAAATATCAAATAAGATAGAATTTTAGTTAATTTAAAATAAGTCCTAGAACAACAGAAACAGCAAATACAAAATAGGCAAAAGCAGAAGAATGACTTACCTTAAAATAATTAAGTCCCAGAATTGCTAGAAATGAATTTCCAGAGCATGTCATCAACCCTCTCCACCTTTCACCGTGGCACTAACAACAATTAGCAAAAACTAACTCTACATAAGAAATAAAAGCTTCAGGATGAGGTCCTGAGACTTATCCTGGTTTAAATATATAAGAGAGTTGATTTATCGTAACAACCTTGCTGCTCCAGGGAGGTTGAATATGTCTAATACTATCCTTTGGACTGAGCAGTTCCTACCAAGTGGCCTTCCAGGAGTGGACAGCAAACAGCTTTTCCTTAGTACTCCCATATGAGTTGGGTGTATAGGAAATTTTCCAGCTGTCCTGGTTTGGAAGAACCCAAAACTACAATAAAAATGTAGAGACATCCACCAAATATATGAGTGGAAAGATACCAGGAAAATGGAAGCGAAGATTCAAGGACTTCTGTGAAAAAGTTCTGAAACCATAATTCAAGGCATTTGTCAAATTCAAGCATAAATGTAATTGCCTCTGTCCCTTCATCCTTGGCAAAGAAGCCACTGACTAAAACAATCTTCTGGTTTTCTTCACTGAGAAAACAGGATCATAAGTGTTTTTATCAAAAGACCTCTCTCTCTCTTTCTCTCATTTCACATTGTTAGTTCGCCTCTTTCATTACTGTCAGTGTGAGAATACTTGAATCAAGAAAGGATTTTCAGGGCCAGCCGAGTGGCACCATGGCTTGGGATGCCAGAGGGCCCTGGTTCGGATCCCACATATGAGGGCCAGTGACCCTGCCCTCTACAGTTAAGATGCTGAACAACAGCTCAACCTGGAGCTGGGCTGCCATGAGTCGCCAGTGACGGCGTAGGCTGCAGCCCCTGCTGCAGTGGGTTGCCATGGGCTACCATGTGTAGCCAGCAGCCAGCGTGAGTGGCCAGCAGCCGCAGTGNGTCCCTATACCTCCATTCTTGTCCCTCGCCATCCATTCTTACAGAGGAGCCAGCACCATCTTTTAACAACCTAAATCTGATGAAGTCTTCTCCCTGTTCAAAAGCTTCCAACTGCTTCTCACTGATGTAAGAAGGAATTCCAAGCTCCTTCAAAAGTTCCAGAAGGTACAAAGCTTCCACAACTCTTCACAATGGTCTGTGTCTAAGCCTCCGACCTCATGCCTGGCCATGGTCTCCCTTCCACTCTGACCTTCTTTGTGCTTTGGGGTCTCTTTAACAGCCGCTCCTTCTACGGGGATGTTTCCCCCTCCAATTTAAATAAAGAGTTCTTCTTGTCACTCAGGTACAGGCTTTCTCAAAGAGGCTTTCTCTAGGCTCCCAGTCTAAAGTTACCATCTTGGCACTTTCCGCCATGTCTCCCTATTTGGATTTCCTCAAAATCCTTTTCTATATTTGGTTTCCCCCCATTGAAGATATGTATTTACTTCTTTGATGCTTCCCCCACTCAAATGTAAGCATCACAGGAGGAAAATTTTTCTCTTTTGCTGCCATATTCCTGGTACCAAGAACAGTGCTGGGCACACAAAAGGTGCTCAATAAATATGTCAAATGAATGAAACAATCAATCAATTTAAAACAGCCTATGTTCTGTGTACTTTCTGATTGAGGGCTCTCTTACCTATGTTGAAAGAAAAGGGAAAGGAGAACTAGAGAGTAATTTAAAAATTCACCTTCAGAATTAGGTGGCCAAGAGGCAAATCCCAACTCTGTCTTTTTGCTACTGTGTTTTCCCCAAAATAAGACCTAACCGGAAAATAAGCCCTAGCATGATTTTTCAGGATGCTCGTAATATAAGCTCTTCCCCAAACATAAGCCCCAGTTAAGATCATCAGCCAGACATGACTGTTAGAATAAATGTAGATTTTTGTACATGAATAAATGAATAAATGTAGATTGTTGGAGCAAATTTAATATAAGACCTGGTGTTATTTTTGGGGAAACACGGTAGTAAGTAATTTAATTCTTCAAGCCTTAGTTATTATATTTGGAAAATATGGAATAATGACTTAGCTTACAGGTTTGCAAGTATCAAATGAGGTAATGAAATGAAAGGCATTTAAAAAATCTAAAATGTTATAGAAATGTGATCATTATTTCAATAAACTGGTACAGACATAAGTAATAAAAATATCAGGGACTGAATTCAATTTGACATTTAAATAAGCATTTAAATAATAATGACATGTAAAATATAACATAAAACTTTTACCTTTTTATAACTGGATATTCTCTGACATATGTGCTCAATTTTTTCACCGCAAACCGCACTGAATTTACTCTGAAGGTCAGTAGGAATCACTTCATTCAAAGAGCTAAGGCTGGTGCAGTTTTGTACAAAATGATCGTCACTTTTTGCCAGGGCTTCAAGAATCTGTAGTGACACATGCATGCACACAGACACACACACACACACACAAAAACAGAACAGGAAAATAAAACCTTCAAAATTACCCAAATAAAATTTTCACAATTCCACAACACAAGGTGTCTAGCCCGGTGCTCTTTTTTCAGCTGCCTGGGATTTCTATGTTCAGGGTTTCTATGAAAACCCTGGTAGCGAAGTAACCTATGTTTGGCATCTCATGTTTTACCTTCCTGAGGGAGGTGAGTGGACTTCGAAGACCCCTGGCTGGATAATACAGCTCACTCAGACGTGGGAACGCAGCGCTTCTATTTTAGTCAGTTACTCAGAACTTTTTTTCCTTCCATTTGATAGAATAAAAACTAAGGAAAACCAATAGAATAGCCTCCTAACTTGCTACTGAGAGTCCAGTACAGATGTTTGCTGAAGGAATGAATAAATACGTTCTCTTGCTAAAGTGACAATCAATGTTACTTGCAGTGTGTGAGCTCTGATGAAAGCACCAGACAAAAG